ACACTTGTTGGGTGTGTGATTATTTTTCTTGCAATAAGGACAAACAGAAAATACTCGTGATTTTGTACCTTTGTTGTTCCTGGCTTGGACAGAACCTCCATCATGATATAATAAAGAACCTTCACTAGCAGTATGATCTCCTCTCATCAATCTTCGTTGCTCTTGTGCTTGTAAAGCATGTAACACTTCTGCCAAAGTAATATTAGACAAATCTTTTGTGTTTTCCAATGAAACAATTGATGTTTCATATCTCTCTGGCACAGTTACCATAATTTTTTCAACTATTCTAGAATCATAAAATTCTTTGCGTAACAATTTTATTTTGTTAGCAATACCTAACAATTTGTTTGAGTATTCATTAATTGTTTGAGACTCTTGCATCTTTTGTATCTCAAATTCCCTTATCAAGTTTAGAACTTTCATACCTCGAATTTTCTCATCTCCTTCATATTGATCTTTCAAATAATACCAAATTTCTTTGGGTGACTTTAGCGTCATGATTCTGGTGAGGATCATTTGTGAAACACCAGCAAACAGACATGATTTAGTTTTTGTCTTTCTCATTTTTCTTTCTCTGTGAGATTTCATTTGAGTTATAGTGGGATTTTCAAGTAGTGGATCAACAATATAATCTTCTTCTACAGCTTCCCATACATCCAATCTTTCAAGATAGGATTGCATTCTCACCGCCCATAAGTCATAACTTTCGCCACCAAAAACTGGAATAGCGACTTGTGAAAAATTTCTTTCTCCTTCCATTGTGTCGAACCAAAGCTCTGATACCAATTTGTTGAGTATTTGAAGGGTTTTGTGTATATGTATTTCTGATATATCATGTGAATGTATTTCTATTCATGTACTCTATGTATATATAGAGTAAAAATATTACAAAATAATAAATATTCATAATATCTCAATCATAACGGCCTAAATCAAAATAATAACCTAATATCTGTTTACCTTCTCTCTTAAAAGATAATAAAATCTCTTAATACATAATTTAAATAAAAGATAATAAAGTAATATTCCTAACACAAGGTTTAGATCAATTTTTTAACAGAAACCAAATTTACATAAAAATTGGGGACGAAAAGAACATCATGAACAATTAAGGAATCTAACTATATAACAATATCAGATATAGAAGTGAAAACTTGGATAACATCTTGCAAAGTAATAAAAATAGGTGGAATAGATTTTTGAGTGACAAAACTGTGAAAATCAAAAGTGATATGATCAGTGACACCTGTATCCAGGAGTCACTGAGGAGATGTTTTACCTAGAAGAACAGAAGGAATTTTAGGAAGAGTGGAAGAAGAATTAATCGAAGGAGTGAACACCGAAGTTGTTGTATGCAAAGGAGATTTGGATTGTTGCAAAAGAGTTAGAATATCATAATACCGCTCTTCAGTAAAGTCAGACACTAGCCGTGAGATCTCGTGAAGGTTAGATACGTTGGTAGTAATAGGGTCAAATAGAAAAACACTAGAGACGGCATTATTAGTCATGCGATTTTGATATCCTGGCAGAAAACCATGTTTGAAATAACACATATCCAATATATGATTTTTGCGTTCATAATAAGTGCAAAATTTATTACCATGGGAACTTCTCCCTCCATTATTTCTGTCACGACCCCTTGGAAATGAACGATGTCTACCTCGTCCTTTATAGAAAGTATTTGAGTTAGAAACATCATCAATCTTAAACTGCAAATTCGGAGTAGTAGTAACAGCTAGGGCCTATAAATCAAGAACAGTTTCAAAAGAACTAAAAACATAATGTAATTGACGTTCTTGATGGATATCCATGTTAAAGACTTTGGTAATATCTGGAAGATGATCAATTAACATACTGATCATTGAGGCCTTTAAGGAATTGAATGACATAATCTTACTATTTGTAGCGTCGGGCAGAATCAAGAGCATCACAAGAATATTTGATAGTACATGTGCAGTTAACAAATGGACGAAAATTATTGATTTCCTCCCAAAGAGTACGTAACTTTGTGTAAAATTCAGTTATAGAGAGAGTACCTTGGTGTAGTTTACATAAATCTTCCTGTAAATCTGCAATAAGAAAAATATATTCTTGATGAAAGCGATGGTACAAATCTTGTCAAACGTCGGAAGCATGTTCAATCCAGAGAATGAATTTAAGGATGGTTTCTAGACCGATCGTTGGATTCGAGAACTAATCATTATATTACAACGATCCCAAGGTTCATCAAGAGGATTGGTTGATGGTGGTTCAGAAAGAGTGTCATCAACAAATTTCAACTTATTCTTGTATTTGAGCGCAAATTTCATGGTGCGTACCCAGACGTCATAATTCTTATCATCCAATAAGGTGGAAACAAGAACAAGAATAAGGTTTTCATTGGAAGAAATAAAGAATGGATTTGAAATATTAGTGTGAAAGTTAATATAAGATTCGAACATCATAAGAATGGAAGAAGAAATCAATAAATAACACCTAATACCATTTTACTTTTCATATAAGTATGATGAAATTCATGTATTTATTAAAATTTCATGCTCTAAAAAAAAGTACAAACAGAATATATATATATATATATATATATATATATATATATATATATATATATATATATATATATATATATATATAAATCTCCTATAACGTTACATAGAAGCATAAGTCGTACCTCATTAAAAAAAATAATAATAATAAAATAATTAAGCTATCCAGGTTTAATGAACTTAATCATTTCATTATCTAATAAGACATTAAACTTAAATAATAAAGAAAAACTCATTATTGTAAACACTATCTCACCGTACATCTTTGTTGTGTATTACCAAGAAGTGGCTTGTTGAAATAATATACAAGTTAAGAGTGGCTATATTAATAAAAAGAATACTTGTGTGTGAAATTGTGAGAACCTTATTAAAAAAATCTCATATAGTAAAACTTTGATAAACTTATAAAAAAATACTCGTGTTATAATTGAAAATTGCTAGTTAAATTTAATATATTATAAAAAATCGGTTGTAATATCAAGTTGAAACAAAATCAATATAAAAATATTTTATGCATTTATCTTCTGCTTTCTTTTTTTATATTATTGAAGAAACTTATTAAAAATTATTAAAAAATAATTTATTAGAGATTAAAAAAAATCTATTAATTTATTGAAAATATTTATTAATTATTATAAAATATTTATGTTTTTTTATATAAAAAATTATTAATAAAATAATGGATAATTTATTAGAGATTAAAAACGTATTTAATTTTATTTGTATAACTTTGAAAATCTGTGTTTTATTTAATATAAGAGTAAAATATATTTCGAGATGATATATTAAGTATATTAAAAGATATATGAATTAACAAAACAAATATTTATTTATTTAAAATATTAATTATTTTCTGAGATTTTTCTTGTAAAAGTTTATTTAAATTTAAAAAAAAATATTTTTGTTTATTTTTATAAAAAAATTATAAAAATATTCTGATGAAATATAATAATTTCTAGTAGTACAATTATAATATATTTACTAACAAGTTTGTATAATTGATTATCAAGTAGCAAATTAAATATCTATTTCATTAGCTTCAAGTTTTCAATTAAATATAAACCTTTGAATTAGTTCTATATAAAGTCATATATTAACTGGTGTTTTATGTTTTTTAACATATATAATGTTCTATATAGTGAAAAATTATAATAGCTGACGTCAGCAGTATAATGAAACATATAATTAAGTTTCTTGTGTACCTAATTCGAATGAGTATAAATTAAAAGTAAATTTAGTGGAGGTTAAATGGTAATTTTGGTTTTTAAAGTGTAAATCAGTATCAATTTAGTTTCTTTGAATAATGAAATTCTTATTTAATTTGTGTGTAAAAAGTGCGATAATTATATCTCGTTATTAAGTTTTATGGGAATATTTTATAATGTTTAAGAATTAATTTTACACTAAATAATATTTCTTAAAAACTAAATTGGACGCAAAGTTCAAAAATCAATTTATGTTTTTCTTTACACATTTAGAGACTAAGTCATATTTTTCATTCTGTTTATGAGTTCAAGAACCAAAATGATTATTTACTCTTTAGTGAATGACAAGTGTTGGAGTTTCTATTTGATGCATTTATATATAGTTGTATTTTTTTTTTTTATGGTATTGCTATTACTTTTATGGTTATATTATGTTACTTTTTCAGGTAGACTAGTAAATTAGGGTTTGAACATTGCTTCTTCTTTTTTTATCTCTTTACCATGCTACACGACTCTACTAGCAAGCTTTATAAGTAGGTGATGTGCAATATATGTTGGCAGCAAACCGAATTTGGAAATATTGTCTTGTGTGGCGATTTTACTTGTAATTCAATGACACAACCTTGTGTAGTGTCCAAAAACAGTTTCAATGTTTTCCTACAAATCTTTCTTTTCACAGAGGCTTTAGTCTCCCATGATTAGACATGATGAAAAACTAGCATGTAGAGTTGAGGGTGTCTCTTGGCTCATGCTTTTGGCTGCATTTTGATTGTGATATTAAGCTTACACATACACTTCATTTTTTTGCAATTGATGACTCTTGATTTTCTATGGAATTAAATTTTCATTGAATAATTAAGCTAAGTAATCTAATAATGATATGTTGATATGTTTCTTTTGTATTAGAATTCACTCCCTGATTACTGTTGTTTATGAGTTCTGAGATTCTTATAATTTCAGTTACCTTTGTTTAAGAATTAGAACTCTTCTATTGATGAAAGAAATATTTTACCCTGCCATTGATTAAGACAAATTGAACAGAGGTGCTTATTATTATTCATCAAAAGGTGTTAAAAAAAGTAAAGTCACAAAGATAAATCTCAAGGATACAGAACAAAATTGAGCTACTTCTTGAACAAGAATAATGAGTTTCTTTACACCAGAAGAATCAACTGTGTATGAGATGTGTTTTCTATGTAAACTGTATTGAACTTACACTATGCACAATTTTTCTATCTTAAGTCACAGAAGACTACACAAGGTATCCATAATCTGAATCCCCAGTGGGATTGTATATCTTAATAAGCATAGCTAGAACCTCCTTCATGTTAGGCCTAGCCTGTGGTGCATCATGTGTGCACTTCACTCCAACTCGGAGCAACTCACCCATCTCCTTAGCACCTTCAACAACCCCACTTCCCTTCAACAAAACTGGCACAGATTGGCCTAACCCTTGTCTTCCAGGACCCATCAAAACACGCCTAGTCCATTCTACCAAACACTCTTCCCCTCCATCCACTGCTCTTCTCCCTGTTGCTAGCTCCATAACCAACACTCCAAAACTGTACACATCCCCTTTGGTGGTGGCTTGCCATGTTTGTCCATACTCTGGTGCAACATACCCCACTGTGCCAGCCACTATAGTGCTCACATGACTGTCTCCGACATCAACAATCCTAGCAAGTCCAAAGTCTGTGACCTTGGCCTTTCCATCCTTGTCTAGCAACACATTGCTAGCCTTCACATCTCTATGCACAATAGAAGGGTAGCACTCATGGTGTAAATAGACAAGTGCCCTAGCCACATCACTTGCCACCTCTAGGCGCCTCTTCCATGTCAACCTTTTTGTATCAGTCACGAGTTCCTCCAAGCTTCCACCTCCTATGTACTCATAAACAAGTATCTTCTGTGAACCATAGAGGCACCAACCATAGAGTGTGACAAGGTTTGGATGAGGCCAGTTAAATCCCTGACCACTTAGAACCTTCATTTCAGCTCTGAATTCTTTTTCACCCTCAGTTCCTTCCCTTTGGAGCTTCTTCACCGCCACCTCTCTCCCGTCTGGAAACGACCCTCTATATACTGTTCCATAGCCACCCCTTCCTATGACTCTTTCTTCTGTGAAGTTGGAGGTTGCTTTCAAGATGTCTGCATGTGTGAAAACTGTCTTGTTCAGGTGGAATATCTTAACAGTGTCAGAATACCATGGTGAGGATCCGGAGCTGACTAAATCATGTGGCTTCTTTGTATTCTTCATGTGATATCCTGGCTCCTTAGGTGGACTTTTCACTAAGAAACATATTACAAGGAAAAGAAGTCCAAAGACCATGATAGCCAGTGCCAGAGCCAAAACCAAAGACCACTTTGTGGGATTTTTGAAGACTCTGTGTAAAGTGCTATTTCTATCATCAGAGATGTTAAAGAACTTTGGGAGGTTCAAGAGAGGGTCACCCAAGTATGAATCCTTGTCAAAAGTGAGTAAGTGTCCAGCTGGTGGGACTGTACCAGATATGAGGGGATTGTATGAGATGTTGAACCTGCTAAGCTCATCCAAGTGTGCTAGACTTATGGGAAACGTTCCAGAGAAATTGTTCCAAGACAAATCAAGATCCTGCAGACACTTCATGTTGCCAATTTCAACTGGAATTTCACCAGAAAAATTGTTTCTGGTCATGTTCAAGACTACAAGTGGCAAACCTACCATCTCTTGAGGGAATTTCCCAGTGAACTTGTTATCCCCCAAATGCAACATGCTAAAGTTCACCATGGCCCCAATTTCTGAAGGGATATCACCACTCAAATGGTTTCCACTTAGCTGAATATACCCTGCTATATGTGATGATCTAGCGGAGGGCTCAGAAGAACACATGGGGAAGATACCATATCCTTTGAGCAACCTGTCCCAAAGGGCCCTACAATTCTTCCTTGTTAGGATGGTATACACAAAGCTGAACGGAGGGTAATCAGCAGGTATCCATCTCCTCATTGCTAAGCACTCACTATTGCCAGCAACAACTCCCCCAAGACTTTTTTCATTTGATTCAAATGTGGCCCTTGCATTCCTTCCAATTCTTGTTAGCTCGGAAGGAATTTTGCCATAGAGTTTGTTGTTTGCAAGGTTTAGCCATAACATGCTTGAGCAGTTTCCCAACTCTGGTGGGATTTCTCCGGTTAATGAATTATCTGAAAGGGTTAGCCATAAGAGAGAAGTCAAGTTTCCAAGGCTTGGTGGGATTGGTCCACTGAAACTGTTGAAGGCAAGATCAAGAGCCATAAGGCGAGTCAACTTTCCCAATTCAGATGGAATAGGTCCAGAGAACTGGTTGTAGGTTAGGGTTAAGAAAGCGAGTGAAGACATTTGTGAGATTTCAACAGGTAATGGCCCAGAAAAATTATTGAAGCTCAAGTCCAAGCGGCTTAGGTTTGTCAATGTAAAAATGCCTGATGTGTTCAATCCTCCAGTGTAGGAATTTGTGTGCAGCACAAGAAACTTCAGTTGCTTGAATTTCCCAAAAATCCCCTGCACCTCCCCACCAAATTTGTTTCTGCTCAAATCCAAGATGAACAAATTGTTCAAGTTCAAAAGGGTCTCTGGGATATCCCTTGAGAAAGTATTGTTCTCCAAGAACAATCCCTCAAGACCAGAAATGGAACCGATTTCTCTGGGAATATCTCCAGTGAATTTGTTACTAGAAAGGTTGAGAACCACTAAATTCTTGCAGTTAGACACCTCTTTGGGGACCTTACCAACAAATTCATTCACTGAAAGATCCAGTTTTTCAATGCTACAGTTAACTGGAAAAGCCTGGGGAAGAACAACCCCAGTGAGAAAATTCTCTGAGATCGAGAACTCTCTCAACCTGGAAAATCCAGTCCATAAGGTCCCATTCAGATGGTTGGTGCTCAAATCCAAGTTCTGCAACCTCAAGCATTGATCAAAGAAGCCTTGAATGCCCCCACTCAAGTGATTATCTGAAACATTCAAAGTCACCAAACTGTCACAAATGGCAGGGAAACTCAACCCAAGTTCCCCATAGAACCTATTAACTGACAAGTCCACTGTTTGCAACTGAGTCAATCCCTTCAAATTCAATTCCCCCGCAAGAGTATTATGGGATAGATTGAGATACACAAGCTTGTGGCAACTCCTCAAGTTATCAGGAATCTCCCCAGAGAGAGAGTTCCAAGAGATGTCAAGGTGTGTGAGCTCAGTGAGTTGAGAGAAGCCCTGGAATATTTCACCATAAATGTCACTGGAAGAGATGTCTACTTTCACAACCCTCCATGTTGTCCCGTTCAAGAGGCTGCACTGAATTCCTGACCAATCACAAGGATTAGAACTGTTCTTGTTCCAGTTCATGTACTCTCCTCTATTTGCACGAGTTGCCGTTTGCAAATAGGATGTCAGATTCAGCAGAACTTTTGCGTCAGTTTCCAATGAATCCCCGACAACTAATTTACCTGTACAATCACCACAACCTCGGTAAGCGTGAAAGACAACTGACAAAAAACAGAATCAAGGATCAACCTAGAAAAATCAAAATAAACATAAATAAATAGAATCTAACAAAACCCCACCATTAAAGGTTGGTGCTTGATAATAAATAAAAAATACTGATTCTTATTAAGGTGTACTATCCAAAACAATAACAAGGGTCACTCATTATCGGTAAAGCAACTATTATTATTAACCCAAAAAGGAGTTTGAGGCAAAAACTTTTCTTTTTTTGGAAAAGATAAGCAACAGAGTTTGGGGTAATTACCTGAGAAAAGGATCAAGAAACAGACAAACAGGAAGCCCCATGAATCGGTTTCCTGCTCTGACATTAATGATGATCCTTCTTCTTTTCTTGTGCTTTGTGTTTTTTTTCTTGTTCGAGCAAAACTCATGTACTTGATGGTTGTGGCAGGGAAGAAAACAAGAGTGAATCTTTGAGGGACTCAAAACTGGTGTGAGGACGTTGAAGACATTGGGGTGTGTTGTGTTTGTTCTTGGAACTTGGAACTTGGAACTTGGAACTTGGAATGGTCTACCAGTGCCAGGTGGTGGTGGAGGACAAAAAGACAATTGAACTCTGAACAACACAGTGGCTCGTGTCTTTATTTTCCATTTTCACTTCTTGTGATATCATGCTGAGGGGTTTATTTTATTCAATTCAATATATGAGTGAAGAATGAACCAACCATTGTCGTTGTAATTAAAAATAAAAATAAAAATAAATGTGGTTGATGTGGTTTGTCCCCGAATGTGAATGTGAATGTCAAATCAGGTATGTGTTTCTAATCCGTGCTATTTGTTCGTAGTTCTAGATGGCAAATACACATTTTGTTAACCTTCTAATATTTTATTCTCTCTTAAATCTATATATTTATATCACGTTATTTGTTTTAGTAAAGAGATTCACTACAAAAAGCTTCACATTAATAGTCAACTATTTGTAGTTATTAATCCAATGACTCAGATTCAAATCCTCATGATACAATTTTAATATAAAACAAATTAAAAACGTTTAAGGTTTTCTTCCGCTTTACTTATTGTATCCATGTATCAAAAAATAAAAATAAAAAACACATTTTGATTAGATCCTCTCGCATTTTATCAAATAAGAAAGAATAAGTTGATTAGATATTGTATTCCTATGATAAAATTATAAAAGAATTTAAATCGAAATAAACTTTTTATACTGTTATCTAATTCAGATACCGAAAAGTAAAGTATATTTTATATTTTATATTTTTTATATTCTTTTAATATTTATTAATGATATACTATTTGACTTAAAAGTTAAGATTAAGTTAATAATTTTTGTGGTAATGATATCAATTTTTAATTAGCTAAGAGTGTAAATTATGAACAAAATTAGTGTGTAGATGAAAAATGTTGTACGAATATGATACATACGAGTGTGTGTGAATGAATACGTGAGAAGAGTGAGAAGAAGGGAAGAAAAGAGAGAGGTGTGGATTTGGTGTGAAAGGGGCGGTGGAGCCGCCAATGCTGACCGGTTCGACCAAGATTGGCTCGCACGGGTTTGACTACATTGCTACCACGCAAAGACTACTACCCTTCTCTGCTCAACCATTCATAACTCTCTCTCTTAGTCAACAAGTATTTATTCAAAAAAAAAATCTAAACCTATGACTATAAAATATATAATAAAAAAATCTTCAACTAAAAAAAAACATAAAATAGTTACAAAATCAATTTTATTTTATTTTATTTTGTAGGAAAATTAAAAAGAGTAATATATATAAAAAAAAATCTTTTTTTGAACGAACATAAATCACTCAAAAAAAATATATTAAATTTATAACTTTAAAATAAAAGGTTTGTTACTATTTTATAATTTAATTTTAATACGAGATTTTTCAACGATTATATATAAACAAAATATATCTTTTTATTATTTATTTTTTTTAATATTCAATATGTTTCGTCTATGGACGAATATATTACGGTGTTCGTTATGATAATATTGTTATGGTCAATTCCCATATTTAAGTTATTATCCGTCATAAAATTTTTGTCCTTCACGATTTTGTGTTTAAAAGTATTTTAATAGATTAAGAGAGAAAAATATATATAAATTATCTTAATATTAACTTTTAAGCAATGTAAGATTCATAAACATATTGTAATATTACAGTTAATTTTATATATGATTTTATAGTAATTGAAGTAAAAAATACAAAGTTGTGTTAGACTTCCTGGCCTTCATCCTCAAACTTGTAATCACATGTGATCAATTTAGTTTCATGTAGAAAGATTTACAAAATTCATTAAGATATCTACCAATTAAAACATGTTCTTTCTTCTTGAAATATGATGCATTTTCCTTAATTATTCAATACAGTGATATTTTTTCTGTAAATTTTTCAAAGTCAAGTATATACACCTAGTTAAAATATTTAGCTCTATCAACTATATTCTCTTAATTATCTTGTAATAGTAAAAGGAAAACTCCTAAAATGTTCAAATCTATTATGGAGTATGTTGTACATGTTGAATGTAACGCAAAGATATAATAAATATATAATAGATATAGAAATTTATGAACACTTTGAGTAATAAAGATCTCATCTTAACTCTTTATGTCTAGATTAAGGACTATATTATTGAGTAAGGATTATAATTGTTTCTTTATTTAAGTTTTAACAATTTTTCTTGTATTATATTATATTCATAAATTATGTTGTTTTTGTTTGTTTTGTAGAAATTTTAGGTCCAAATTTTATTACAAAAAATTAAGAGAGGTTGAAGTCACTCTAATTAATCTCATGGATGACTTAGAAAGACCATTAAAGAAGAAGAAAAAAAACAAAATAAGTGAATTGAAAAAGCAAAGAAAATTGATATTGAAAAGAAAAAAAAATTAAATATTGAAAACCATGCTCACAACCACTCCAAACACATAGTGTTGTGAACACCAACATTGTTCTCCTTGAACTTATAAAGATGAGTAACAATTCAATCAAAAGTAAGGACAATCTTATGAATGGTTTATCCTGCCTTCACCAACTATTATACTCTCCATGTGGCATGTAAGCATGATCACAAATAAGGTTTAAGTCACTAAAGAATTTTAAAAAACATGGAGCTTTTGTCTAAGAATAATAAATAAAAAATAAAACTATATAAGACATTAGGAATAATAATTTATCTAATAATAGTTTTGATATAAAAAATTAGAAAAATGCAAATAAATAATATAATTATATAATGAAAATTATTTAAAATGAAAAAAATAATATAATTTTAATGAAATCATTTCATTTTATTTTTCAATGGAAAGATGTTCTAAATTGTTTTATTTTGACCGTTGAGTACATATTGACGCATTATAATATCATCTTTAAACAAGTGTGTTATAAATTGTATTATCCCTTTCTCTAAGAGATAAAAAGACTAATTTTTTAAGTAAGATTTGAATCTTTTTAATAAAATAAAAAAATAAAAAGTGAGAATATCTAGAAAGTTTTATGTCCTCCTTCCTAGTAAGTTTGGGTCACGTGTGAATTTATCCTCAAGTATTAAAAATAAATAAATTCTTCACTTTTTTTTAATGCTTAAGTCTTTTTTCTAAGAAATTCTTATTAAGTTTTCATGTGTGCAGAATAATCTCTCCATTAATATTATTTTTCAGTAAAATTTGATGAATTTGTCACACGAGTAACATGTGACTGACTTTTTCTTTTTCAAAAATACCCTTCCAAAATTATTTCTAATTCCTTTGTATTATCATAGCTTCACATATTATAGTCAATTTTTTAAAAAATAATCATTTTCTATTCTATTTAAAATAAAAATCCATGATATAATGAGGTAAAAAAAATATAGTGGCATAAAATGAAGTCTACAAGTTATACCAGAAAATTAGGAAAACATGTGACGTGAGACGAAAACAAAAATGTGAAAGGTCTAAAATTGCATACACTAAGTCATAATATTAATTATTTGTTTGTTTTTGTTGTAAATTTTGTATCGAGTGGGTGTGGGAGGGAATATTTTAATCTTCTTCTGCGATAAGATGTGGTCCAAGTGGAAGCTTGAATTTGTCACTTTCATTATCCCTTTTCAAAGAGGTTTATTCAACAAATTCAAATTTCCCAACAAAACATCATTCACAAGCAAACAATTTCCCATCAAAGGTTCGTGGTCACAATAACAACGCCCACACGTGCTTCCCTTCCGTCACATTTTTGGATTCCACTTTACGCCATTATATCTTTTAATACATTTTTCTACAAGTAAAAAAAAAAAAAAAATTGATACACTGATAAGTACTATATATCTTAACAGTCGATAATTTTTATACCCTAAGAAAAATTAAAATGTCATCATTTAAGAAATGATACCCTAGTTTTTTTTTAATTATTATTATTATTATTTTAATCTAGGAAATGAATCTTCTCACTTTAATTTTTTTATTTTTATTTCTATAACATGAAGATAGAATATTGATATAAGAGAACCACTATTATTAGTGTATATTATGATGTAGTGGCTTAGATCATTATGCTATTTCCTCATTATAAAAAAAGTTTAAAAGGGAAACCTAGTCAAACCACATGTTATTATTTTTGTTGGAAAATTGATTAAGTATTTGTTTCTTGTAATCTAGTCTTTTCAATTTGCATTAGAAAATATAAAGCTAAAAGTTTATGAAATGGACGTGCATGTTATCTTTCTCCCATAAAACATATTTCTGATGATGCAAGTTATGAAATAAAATATGGTTATGTTACTTGGAAAATTAGGGTAATTATTTTTTAAATAAGACATTTGAAAATTATTATTAATCTCCAAAATTCAATGTAAATTCGTTTATACTCACTTGTCAATTGTCAGCAATAAAATTATAAAATGATATCAATTATTAGCTGATTTCCCTTTTTTTATTAGTTTATCAGATGAGGATTTCAAAGAGATTTTATCAATATTTTTAAAATCAAATGGAGTATTATATTGATATAAATTGAAGGTTAATAAATTTAATCGGAGGTCGAATAATAATATATAATAAATTTATTAATAATAATAATAATAATAATAATTGTTATAGTTAATTATAATAAAAGTTTTAAACATATATTAAAAAAATAAAAAAGAATAACAATTAAAATAAAATAAAAATATAATTAATTATTTAAAATTAACATAATTAATATAAAATAAATAAATTAATTAAAAAATATTTTTTATAAAATAACCATATTTAAAAATAATTAAAAATTTAATGTTATTTTTTTTATTAAAATCAGTTTTCCCAAAAATTTAATCGTTTTATAAGTTTTGTAATGAATTTTTTTATTTTATATCAATTTAATTAAAAATGAATTATTTAAAAATAATATATTGGTTTTTAGATTGATCTCGATTAAATTAATTG